GATCACACAGGCTGGTGTGCTTCTTCCATGTGAGTTTTGTTGCTTCTCAGCTAGATGGCCGCTTGTTTATCTTCAAGCCTTTAAGACCCCAGACAGTCAGCACCATCAGCTTTCTTTACCACATTTGCTTATGCACCATTTGTCTTCAGTGATCTTGTTGGGAAGGTGAACATCACAGACTGCCAGATTATTCGGACAAAGTGCTCTTGTGTTGAGAGAGTAGTTGAGTGGAGGCCCAATGTCCATCTGCTGCCTTAATACTTAACATGTAAGTACATAGATCTATTTCCCTATTATATATAAATATATTTACATATGTACATGTCTGTATTATGAATGTCCTTCGCCTATTTCTTTCCTCCATTTCCTTTTACTTTCTTCGTGTCCCACTATCATGTTCAGTCTTCATTCAGGTTTCAGTAATTCCTGTTACGTTTCCCTTGATTAAGGCCCACTAGGTATCCTACACCCTTTTATGCACTGATTTTAGTGCACTTGTTGTTCCCTTGTCCCTGGGTTGGTGGACCCCCACCCCCACCCCTTTCCTTCTCCCACCTCCCTTTCTCTTGTGTTCCTCAGGAGCCATTGTATTTTCAATTGTCTCATATGCATGGAACAGTTGGACAATGAATAAGGAACTCTGAAAACAATGGATACATTTGAGTTATGGTCTTGGCTAAGAATATTGAAAATACTGATGAATTGACACCGTGGCTGAAGCAATGGGCTCAAATATACTAATTGTGTGAATGGTCCAGCACTAGGAAGTTTTTCCTTCTGTTGCGGTCACTGTTAGAATCTAACAATGACAATTGGGGGGAATGAAACAGCCTGGCCTAGTAGGCTTTTCATGATCTGGTCTGATGACATTGGCAGCACTTCAAGGGACAGGAGGACTGATGCTTCCCAGAACACTACTCACTCACGCCTTTTTTGCCTCTCTTCTGGAAGCTCCCGTTTCTGCTGTCTGTCTGCGGAGCATCTACTCATCCTTCATGGCTCATAGCCTTCTGTTACTGTCAACTCTGGGAAGCCCTTCCCATCTAACCCTGGTTGATTGGAGCTACTTTCCCCACTCTCCTTTCCTTGAACCTGTTAGCTCAACTGCGCAGTCACAGCAGCAGTTTGGGAGTCATCACCCCCAGACAGGAGAATGGGAGTGGTGTTGGTGTTGGTGTTAGCATTCAGAAAGCAGTCCAGCAACCCCAAATCATATCAGAATAACTCGCTTATACTTGTGTATTTCAAACACCATGAAGGGGCAGATTAACAGAACCAAGGTGAGACTTGTGAACATTCCCCTTTCCCATCCCACATCTTTCACACACTACAGATGCTCTGTCCCTGTGTCTTCAGCAGCTCCCTCCGCATGCCTCTTCTCAGTCTGCTTTCCTTTCCCTTGTTCCCCTTACCCGGCTTGTGTGTGTGGATGCGTGCGCGCATGCACGCGCCCGCACACAGGCAGGTACGGTACATGAGAATGATTTCTTACTACTGTCCATTTTTGAGTCCTTTGTCACAAAACCCCCAGAGAACTGCAAAGGCAGGGCCGGAGCCACTTCAGAAGTGGGAGAGCACAAAACCTTGAAGGCAAAATCCTTTTAGTCTGTGGAAAGGGGGCCATTTCAATCATTTTGTTTGGCTACATTGGAAAGGTCTATCATGAGCTCCTTGCCGACCTCAATGGGATTGTTGACCTTTTTACTCCTAGCACTGGAATTCACTCATCGCAAAGCCAAATCCATTGCCATCCGGGTGATTCTGACTCATGAGGAACACTGACTCATAGGGTTTCCAAGGGTGTAATGGAAGTAGAGCCCACTGACATCTCTCTGTTCATAAGCATGCAGAGGAGCATTTGGCAATATTTCAAATAATGGCCAACCTGCACACCCTCATGACTTTGCTTTGCATTGTTACGATCCTGAGGGCAAGCTTTCTAGCTAAAGCTTGCGATGCACACCAGACCAGCAAACAGCTGCAAACAACTTCTCCGATATGTCAGACATTCTCTTCTTTATGTTCAGGACTAAAACCAAGATTTTTATCGAGACCCTCATGAATGTTGTCACTATCCAAAGTATCGCATGGCATGCGATGGTCCATCTACTGCTCCACAGAAACCATGCTCACCGTAGTCTTCCCTGCACTAGATACGACTGTTAGCCAAACTAAACAGCCACACAATCCATTCCTGGTCCCCGCTACCCCCCTCTCTTGTTCCTGATCACATGGTGGGCTTGATAGTTGCTCTCTACCCCCCAGTTCTGTTACTGCTGAGTTTGACTTTCTTGTAAAGGCTCCCAGGAGTCTCCATAGTGGTAGAAGAGGAGGCGAACCCAATGTGGGCGGGGCAGGAACCCTCTCTGGTGAAGGAAGCAGACTGCCACATCCTCCTCCTCTAGAGTAACTGGTATGTTCCTAACCTTTCTGCCAGCAGCTGATTGCTAATCCGAGGTGCCAGCAGAACTCCTGCTTGACATTGAGTAGAGACTTAAATCAACCTTAGCTTAGTGCATGTGAGAACACTGAGACTCCCAACCTTTGTCTTAGGGCAGTGGTTCTCAACCTTCTTAATGCCGTGACCCTTTAATACAGTTCCTTGTGTTGTGGTGACCCCCAACCATAAAATTATTTTCGTGGCCACTTCATAACTGTCATTTTGCTACTGTTATGAATACTGTGGGTCATTTGACCCACAAAGGGGTCATGACCCACAGGTTGAGAAGCACTTAGGGGATAGCAACATTTTTTAAAAAAAATCACTTTATTAGGGGCTCATACAACTCTTAGCACAATCCATACATACACCAATTGTGTAAAGCACATTTGTACATTCATTGCCCTCATTCTCAAAACATTTGTTCTCCCCTTAAGCATCAGGTCCTCATTTTCCCCCTCCCTCCCTGCTCTCCCCCCTTCCTCACGAGCCCTTGATAATTTATCAATTATTATTGTCATATCATGCTCTGTCGATATCTCCCTTCACCCACTTCCCTGTTGTCCGTCCCCCAGGGAGGAGGTCACATGTAGATCCTTGTAATCGATTCCCCGATAGGAACATTTTATAGAGATGTTTGCCCTAGGTGTTGAAACAAGACATTTTCCTTGGGCAGCAAGAAGCACATCTCTTCCTAAGGCTGAGGTAAGTTAATAGGAGAAGGCTGAAGGAATTTCATTTGATGGCTCAATTGTTTTCTCTACCAAACAGGGAATTTGGGCACCTGGGCTAGGGAAGAAGAAAGGTTTGGAGAAGTCACAGGGGTCTAGAGACAGAACAATCGCTGGGCAGTGTTGAAGATGCGGCTGAAAGCGGAGGCCATTGTTTCTACATCGTGGAGTTGATCTTTGCAGAGCACTACGTGGTTGGGCTACAACAGAGATTGGGGATCATTTGTTCAGCACAGAGAAAAAGAAGGCAAGAAGTGGAGGGTGCTCTGATGTTTAAGAACAAATATGGTAGGCATTAGGCTGTGAGAAGGCCCCGAAGCAGGTTTTTTCTTAGGAGATGGGGAAGTTAGAATTTAAGATGGCTGTAGAACAGTTGTGTGACCTTAGGCACGCGTGACTGAGGAGGTAAAGTCACTGAAGATGAGGATTTCAAGGAAAGCACAGGCTAACTCTTGTAAAGGCTGTCCCTGAGAATGTTAACGACTCCCAGAATCCAAGGTGGCACCTTGAGCCACATGATTGCCTGCAGTAAAGAGTTGAGAAGAAGGCGTCCCAACCTGAACTTCACAGGGACAGGCGTGTACACACACACAAGCACATGGTGCAAAAGGGCTGCGAAAAGCAATGAGAAGGTGGAGCCTGTTTTCGTCAAAGGTCAATGCCTCGCTATGTCTGCCTCTTCTGTGAAGTGGGAGAAGGAGGGAGGTGTGCAGAAGCTAGCTCCATCTCTGTACTCTGCACTGGGGACCGGACTGTATTCCATTCTCAACCCAGATCGAACTAAGCTGGCCAGTGGTGAGGCCCGGCTGCCAACTTGACCCTTCCTAGACCCTAGGCATTGCAATATGTATCGAGGGTGGTGGGTGCTTTAGGGCACCTTTAAAGTCTAGGAACGTGGGGTCGGAACCAGAAGCCATGGAGTGGAGTCGTGGAAGGCAGGGAAAAAGGAAAAAATGGCAGAGGAGCAAGGAGCCAGGCCGGAGAGTTGGGACAAGCCCCGGCTAGTCCCTGCGGCCGGCGTCGCTCGTCTCCATGGCCACGGCGAGCGTGGCCCGGAAGTAGGCGGAGCTTCCCGCAGGGGTGGGCGTCTCTGTGACGCTAGGGGCTGGGCCTCATGGCGAAACCCGTGCGGCTCACTAGGGGGTTTGAACTGGCCAATGGGCGAGCTGCCGACCGGGTGTCGGAAAAGGAGGCGGAAAAGGGGAGGAGTCGCCGCCGGAGCCGGACTGCATCCGCCGCGGCGTCTCCATGGCACGACCCTGGCCTCCGATTTCAACGACTTCATAAGGAGGCGTTTCTGGGCGCAGCCGTGTCGCTCCTGGTGAGAGGCCGCCTCTGTCGGCGCGAGCGGGCGTGTGTGTTTGGCGGGG